CTTCAGCCCATGACCTTTGTGTTGAAGGTAACCAGTATGATTAAGCAGCTGCTGGCCGAGGAGGTGTTGAAACTGAAATTCTCTAGGCCTGACTGGATGCTTTTCAACCTTTTCCCTGGTCCTCTCGACCTGGGGGGGGGGGGGGGGGGGGGGGAGAGCAGGGTGGCTGGCTGTCGTAACAAACTGGGAAATCCCCACCGCAGGCCAGCCTTGAAACACTACACCTGCCCGTGTTTTCCTTTGTCACCGGAGGTTTGTTTACTTGCTGGATGATGAGAAGGCTGCAAGCTTGTACTTGAATCCAGTGGAAAGAAAGCTGCAGGGATCAAATAACACTGTAGATGGGAGGAAGCCAAGGCCAAAGACAGGAGCACAGCCTAATCCCAGAAAGTGGCTGCAGCTGTGTTCTCCAAGGCTGTCATCGGTTTCTTACTGGAACCCTTGAAATATTGTTTACTTCCTATTTGAGCTTGTGGAAGAGTGCCACCCTAGGATAATAGCATCGCAGGGAAGAGAGCTGCCCCCTTTCCCCGTTGCTGTTTCTCAGTCTGCAAACGTCTTTTTGTCCTCCGACCTCTGCCTTGAGACCTGGCCCCCTACCCTCTCTCTACTTACTCCTTAGTTTCCCTTGAGAAACCAGAGATTTAAAGACGATGGAGCTCACGATGGTGCCTAATTCAGACTGACTGTTTCTCTTACGCGGACAATCCCTTGAGTCCCATGGAAGAGGAGAAAGAAGTGAAACTGGTTAGTCTGAATTAACGTAGGGTGAAAGCTGAGATTTGCAAGCATGGTTACGCCCAAGGCTTGATCGTGCATGTGTTTAGACACTGGGTACGCTATGTTGCACCTCTCTTGCTTCTGCCAGTATGGGGGGGGGAGGCTCACCTCACATGCACACACACACACAAACACACACGTATGCATGTGCACACGCACACACAGAGAGTTAAAATCTAGCTAGGAAAAGGTGACTGTGGTATTGTGTCCACTCCCTTAACAGTGTTTTACCCAGGTGGACCTAACCCTAACAGGACATTCTGTCCTGGTCCTCTGAGGACCCCTTTCTTTGCCCCTCCATCTCTGACTCCCATGGCTTCAGGTTCACGTGTGCCTGCCCCATCAGTGACCTGCCCATTCTGACCACGTGGGACCATCCCTTCCACCTGGGCTCAGGATGTGATCAGAGCCAACTCTGAGTGCTTTGACTCTAGAATGTAAGAAGCCTTTTACCTCTATAACCATTGTAGGTCCCAAATCCATTTCCTTCCAGTAAAATAAAAATCTCAGAAGACACTAAAAACTAATGTTCCCCGCCACTTAGCACAATACTTGACCCTTACATCATGAAAAAAGAAATGAAATGTTAGCTGACGTCCTCATCAGTCCTGCTGTGCTGCTGTTAGGTGTTGCCAAAGATTCAAGATCACCTCCAGTGGCGTCTGTTTGCATCTGTAGAAGGTGTTTTGATGAATCATCCTGACTTTGGGCAGGAAGAAGATAACTCGATGAGGGAGGGCTTCACATACAGACCAACTAATTCGCTCATGATGTGAGCTATTTATTCTGTGCTTTCTTCCTGGGTCCCACTGGAAGCCGGCCCAAGCGCAGTTTCTAATTGCTTAATGCTGCTTAATTCTAGGGAGTTTGTTTACCTCCCATGGACCAGTTAGGTATCTTTTTCCTAAATGTGTCATGGAACATCATCTCATTTTAAGCCTTGGGGCTACAACAGATGCTGAGTTAAGGGGCAGGTATGACGACCTGGATTCAGCTTGGTTTCTGCAATAGAGACCAGGAGGCCCTGGTGGGTGGGGCATTCTCAGAAGTCGTTTGTAAATAAGATGTTGCTAGGATGACAATGCTTGGAATTGTATCCCATACCGGAGTGCAGTCACGTAAAGAAAAGGGCAAAAGCTGGCCAGATGACTCAGCAGGTAAAGGAGTTTCCTACCAAGCCTGGTGACTTAGGTTTTGCATCCTCAGAACCCACAGGATGCAAAGAGAGAACTTACTCTTGAGAATTGTCCTCAAACCTCTACCTGTGCACTGTGGTGTGCTCACATTCACGTGTGCACACACTCACTCACACACACGTTTTTAAAGTGGGGGAGGGCAAGCTATTTGGTGGTTATGTACCTGCCATGAGTTGACGAAGAGACATCAACAACAGAGGAAAAACGTCCTTTGTATGGAAAAAGGTGCTGTGTTCAGCAGCCAAAAGCACACTACCAACAAGACATGCTTTAAACACAAGAATGATTTCCCAGATAATGACTCTGTCTAGTCCACATCTCCCCTGAGATTTTGCAATTAGCCTTGTTTTGATTCCATGTTCTCAGATCAGCCTCCTGATTCTTATTTAGTCACTGCAGGCGCCTCAATACCCAAAAGAGGTGCCCTGGATTACTGGAAATAAGTAGCTTGCTTAGTTACCAGGATGGTAGAGTCTAACACTGTGGAGGAATGAATGTTTTATAGTCAATAAATCAACTGTCTGTAAGCTGAGCATAATTCACTCCCTCATAATGCAGTGAGCTCCACATAGACTGGGAAAATAAAGGGTCTTTATCAGAAAGCTGGGAGCCAGACTCTAAATCACCATTTCCTTAAACTCCACCATCCCTTGGTTTCCTCGCTTTAAAAAGCTGTGAGGAATGAGTACCTGCTTTGTATTGCCATTGTGGAGATTAGTGGTGTTTATGGTCCCGTGTGTGTATGAAACGATTTCACCTATGGAAAGTACTTGGGAAAACGCCTGTTATTCAAAGTGACCCTCTAGGTAGTGCTTGCTTACAAGGAACACCTGCCTCGTTAGCCTCAGCCAGGTAGCATCTCTCTTTCCTTCACTATATCGCACAGCCTTCAGTGTCATGGTCTGGACACTCCACTCTCAAAATGACTTTATACGAACATTGTAATTGTCATAGTGGCATGGTGAGCAAAAGACTTCTGTGGTTATGTAGGCTACTCACTTCTCTGCTACTCAATTACTATCACCCATAAATGCTTAATTTCTCAACAAGCCCTTTTTTCTTTTTTCTTTTTTTTTGGCACTGAGCCCTACTATGATATTGATAAGTGCCCACTAAATGAATAACCTTCGTGTTGTCCCCTCCATACCAAAGGCTTGTCTCCAGACTGCAGCACTATTGTGATACAGTGGAATCTTCAGAAAATGGGGCTTAATGAAAAGTCTAAGGTGGTATGGCTCCTGTGCTCAAAGGGCCCCTGGGGAGCTGGTCTTTTCTTTCTCTTTGGCCAGCTTGTCTTGAAGTAAGCAGCTTACTCCACAATGAGTCCTCTGCCAAAATGAGCTGCCTTGTCACAGATTTCCTACTGTGAACTCAAAACTTCCACAACTGTGTGGTGAAGGAAGCCTTTCCTCTTCGAAAGCTGATCAACTGGGGAGTTTTGTTATATGAACGAAAGCTGACTAACATACCCCTATAACTCATGTAGCTATGAGTGACCACGCCAACTGCGCTCCTCCCAGGTGGCTCTCTCTTCCTTGTTATGAAAACAGTGTTGTGGTGGATTGAAAGAAAATGGCCCCCAAAGGGAGTGGCGCTATTAGGAGGTGTGGCCTTGTTGGAGGAAGTGAGTGCGTCACTGTGGAGGCAGGATGTGAGGTCTCATACATGCTCAAGCCATGTCCAATGAGACAGTTCATTTCCCATTGCCTGCACAAGATGCAGAACTCTCACCGTGTCTGCTGCATGATGCCATGCTTCCCTCCATGATGATAATGGACTAGACCTCTAAACTGTAAGCCACCTAAATACATATTTTCCTTTATAAGAGTTGCATGGTCATATCTCTTCACAGCAATAGAAACCCTAACTAAGACAAATGACAAGACACATAGATTTCTTAGACCCAGAGCAACATTTCCAAAATGAAGTCCTCTCTCAGGGATCTTGAGAGATTTGTGGGTACCCAAAGGAAACTATGAATGCTTCTCAGCTTTAAAAAATTGTGTGTGTGTGTGTGTGCGCGCGTGCACATGCACACACGTATATGTATGGTGTTTTGTTTTTTGGGTTTTTCTTTGAGACAGGCTATATAGCCCTGGTTGTCTTGAAACTCACTATGTAGACCAGGCTGGCCTGGAACTCAAAGAAATCCTCCTGCCTCTGTCTCCCTAATGCTAGTATTAAAGAGCACTTCTCACTCCTGCCTCCTAAGCAATGAACCCACTTAGTAGCTCCTTGTGAGATGATTTCAGCTAGCCTGGCCTTCAAAGCAGGGAGTTAGTCTACCACTGTAGCTACTGCAAGACCCGACAGCAAAAAGGGCCTTCTGCTGACCCCTCACGGGGGACATGATTGCAGGAATTAGAGAGAAGGGCCAGGCAGAATTCACGGTGACTGCTAGGGAACAGCAGCGATGGTTCCCAGGAGTTCCCCCATCCATTTTAGCCTCCCTGTGAGACACCCACCGGATGCTTCCCTCAGATGGGAGGAACTGTAGTTAGCTCGCCACTAAATTTTGTCATGGGAGTTAAAAGCAGAATAGTTTGAGACAGATATCATAAATCATTCTTCCTTCGAGTTCCCAAGATGGAATAGCTCAAAGAAACGTGGTTTCTACAAGTATATGGTTACATGGCACTCGTACATACAAATGTACTTTTTCCATACATTGAGTCTAATTTTGGTACTGGGAACCTTGACATCGCTTCTCCATTCCCAGGTTAGCCCCTGTTCTTCCTATGGTCTGATGACCCTTTACCTATGGTCCTACAATGGCCAGGCAATTTTTCTGTGGTTACCTATAGTGTGGTTATGTGGTCTGGCCTTTTGAAACACAGGCTTGTAAAAGAAGTTGCCTACAAACCTGAGCTCTCAACAACTTGGAATCTTTGATCATCTCAGCTTCCTTTGTTCTGATTTTAGAATCTAGACCTACAGCATGAGTCTTGTTTCTAAGAAGGGACTTCGCTGTCCTGTTGAAGAAGCCTGAGAAAAAGTTTTCAAGGCTACAGAGAAAACAAGGACTAGAAAAATGTTTAGTTATTGCCAGTTCTTCCACAGCCACTTACATAAGGGCTGGAGTTGAGACAGGCTGTCCCACCCGGGCTCAGCATAACAGCTAACACTCCTGGGGAGCGATGACAGAAACAACGTGGGAACCACAGGGTTCTGGCCCATGACGTCCAGGAAGGAAAACCAAGTGGTGTGTGGCGATTAGTCTTTTCACAATGATGCGGTGGTTTCCTGGGGTGTTTGGAGGCACTTGGTGGGGGCACAGTCTCCAAGAGGGGGAAAGGCTCTGAAAACAAGATATGAATAGTTCCTTGTTTTCCATTTTTAAGATAGAACAATGCACACTCGGCTGCCTGAGCCTAAGAGTAGAGTCAAAAGTTCAGGTGTCTTTTGGCCTTTCAGATCCATCCTGTCTCACAACAGCACAAATAAACACTGTGTCCAAATCTGGGACAGTTTCAAAGTTTGAGAAAAGCCACGGACAGTTTTGTTCAATTGAATTTTGCAGAAATAAAGAAACATACTAAACCCTTTCTTCGGGAAAGGAACACACAAACACTAACTCCTCCAGGAAACAATGTGAGGGCCACAGGCATCACGTTAAGATGTTCAGAGGTCCAAGGGGACAGCTCGCTTCCCCCACGTTAGTGGAAAGCAGATGTGGCTGCAGCTTGGTAGAGGCGAACAAACAAACCTGGCCCCACAACCACAAGGCGAGCTTAGCTTTTCTTCACAGGCTCCCTCTGAGGGAGACACCACGGCCTCTTTGTGTGCTGTTCCCAGCTTTACACGAGAATCTGAAAAACAGTTTCCATATGCTTTCATTTAACTTCTGGTTAAAATGTGGGTCCAACCTTCCTTGTTCCTCCCTCAACAGCCCATATGAGTAATTGCCCATTGGCTTTTCTGCTTGCCTGTCTACCTAGGAGTTTTTTCTAAAGCCAGACACACCTAACTCTTAGCATCTGTCATCACAATAAGGTTTCTTCTTGCTTGCTTCCGGATGACAAGTTGAAGCTAGTATAGTCTTACATGTAAGCCATATCTAATCAGCATTTAACCGATGAAACTGTGTCTGTCTCGCTCATTCTTTGTCTACCTTTCTTGCCTCTCTACCCCTTCTCTAGTCCTTTCTCCTTCCTCTCTGTTGCCAGGGAGATGGCTCAGTGGGCAAAGGCACTTGGGACCATGCCTGAAGATCTTAGTTCGTTCCCTGGAATTCACATTGTAGAAGGAGAGTGGTGACCAACTCCAGCAAATGGTCCCCTGACTCTGCAAGCATGCCATCAAGTGTGTGCCTCACCTCCCCACACACAAATGAGTAAATAAATGTAAAAATATTTCAAGGAAACCAAGTTTGTCTGTTAAACACTCTCTAAATGTCTGATCTGTGCTTGGGATATACGCCATATATATCACAGAACAGAAGCACACTCCCTGGGGTTTCCAGGGTTAGCGTTAGTCTGTGTGGGTTGGAGCCATGATCCATTTGAACTAAGATGGAATCCAAGGGGCGAGAGAGGAAACACACAGAACCACAGGGTGCTCATGAAGACACCTCCGGGATATCTCACCTGGGTTAGTTCTCACTGTCTTTTTGCCAGTTGTCCTCCAAAACCATCACGGACGGGGTGGACTCTGTTCTAATCGTTCATCATCTTCAGTTTGCCTTTCAGAGTCTTGAGAAAACAGGAAAGCCAAGAATAAAAGTTGTCCAGGACTTAGGAGTTGCAAATGGAAAAAGCACATCTTGAATCAAAGAAAACCTAAAATTGAAATGTATTTGTTCCTGAGACAAAACCAGGAGAACCGGTAGCAGATAGAGATGCTACAACTCTAGGGTGCGCTGCCCACACTCCTCCTCACTTCTGCCTGTGGTCATTTTCCCAGACCGTGTCCTACCACGAGGTGAGGATGTGATCACTGAAAGGACAAGCATAGGCTCAGGACCCCCACGGCCGAGTTCTCCGCACAGAGGGCAGGGGATAAGAGACAAACACAGGAGATAGAGGACAAGGGAAAAGGGACGGGAGCAAGGGAGAGGGAAAGGGGTGTTAGTTCCTGAGGACCATGGACTGCCTCTGGATAGAGAGGAGACAGATGTGACCCACAGGCAAATGGTGGTTTATAAAGGGAAAAGGGGAAACACCATGTTAGGATGAGGTGTTTAATTTTATTTGGGCATGTTAATTAGGTGAGCCAAAGGGGGCTTCTGAAGGCTGGACTGCAGTGCTTTGATAGCTGGACCTTGGTAGTCAGCCTCAGGAAGAAGTGATTAAGTAAGGGTGTAGACCTTGCTGGCAGCTTTAGAGATGCAATGTAATAGTTTTAGCAAGACAGTTACTGGGGAAGAAGGGCGAGCCTGCCAAGCCATGTTTGCCAGGCTGGCCAGAGTTCCTCAGTCACCAACACACTTATCTCCCTATAGCCTGTGACTTCTACCTGTCCCCACTTCCCCACTCCCACCCCCGTCAGCCCCTAAGGGAAGAGTGAGTTAGCTACGCAGTTTACCTTCCTGTGTCATTCCCCACCCCCAGGCCTATTTAAATGTAATTCAACAACAGCCATTACAACACCTGAGAAGGGGACCTGCAAAGACCACTGAGTCACAACAGGCAGTTCCTTCCCCACCCTCTTTGTTCCATCAGAGGGGGCCACATGTACATGTGACCTGGATCTCACATACCCCCACAAAGGTACAGCGACAGTCACTGTCCCGCCATCCTAGAAAGGACCAAAATAAGGGTTTGTCTGATTTTCTTACCATTGCCAAATATCATTAAAAACTACAGATGAAATCTGGATTTTTGCAGAAAAAAAACCCATAGACTTAGAGAGATAGAAATACAGAGGAACCTAAATAATTTCCTACCTCCAACCAGAACTGAACAAGAAAGAGGGATGGCAGGTGTTCAAAGGTCTATGGGTCATTCACTGCATGAGGAAAAAGAAGAAAACACCTAAGATCCACCTACGAAGTGATTCTCAACCTTCCAAATGCTGTGACCCCTTAATGCAGTTCCTCATGTTGTGGTGACCCCAACCATAAAATTATTTTCATTGCCACTTCATAACTGTAATGTTGCTACTGTTATGAATCAGAGCACAAACATCTGTGTTTCTGGTTGTCTTAGGTGACCCTGTGAAAGGGTCATTTGACCCCCAAAGAGGTCGTGTCCCACAGATTGAACCACTGATCTAGATTCTGTGAGGTAATGGGTCTGTGGTCACCCTAGCCTGAGGTAGAGCACTGAACCTCCCCTCACTCTTAGGAACCGGTTTAGTGGCCAGCAGAGCTTCCGATGCAGGGCCCCATTGAGGTGTTTAGTGTCAGTCACCCTGTGTGGGCTAGGAATTCCCAGTCTTTAGAAACTAGGACTCTGTCCTTGGTCTTCATCTCATTGTGTCACATGGTGTCTCCTTGTCTGTGTTTGTCAGCATTACCATTCCTTTCCTCTGAATCTTTGTCAGATTCCCTAACTCACAGCCCATAGGAGAAGCATGGGAGAAATACAACCATCTAGAAAATCTTTAGAGCAAAATTTTCAGATCACAAAGAATTAGAGAAAGACAGACATAGAAATGCATACAGACAGAGACAGACAGAGAGAGAATTGTTTGCTTTCCATCCCAGAGGTAGGGAAAATCATGCCCACCACCACTCCCAAAAAGTACTCCACTCCCTGTGAATATGGAGTTACATCCCAGAGAAGTTAAGGCCACCATTAAAATGACTTAGAATGGGAGAGTGCCACGCATCACTTTGGGGAGGGCAATGTAATCAGATCCTTAGAGGGGAAGAGAAGCGAGGCGAAGTGACACCTCATGAGAAGGACTTACTCTAGCATTGCAAGTTTTGAAGACGGAAAAAGAGGCCATGAGCCAAGAGAGGCAGGAAGTCTCTAAAAGACAGAAACGACAAGGATATTGTTTCTCCCCTATAATTCCAGCTTTGACTTTAGTTCAGTGCAACCCATGTTGGGCTTGTAATCTACAGACTATAAGATGGCACATTTGTGTTGACTGATCCGATAAATTTGTGTGTTGGTAGGAAGGACGGGTTGTTGCTGCCGTCACAACAGGAAACAAACCCACTTTGTGCTTCATCTTGGAAGCTCTTGATGATTCCAGAGACTGGGCTGTGGAGAAACAGCGGTGTGCACAAGGAGAACAGATCTGGGTCTCATGTCACTATGCTCTGTGGCTTTGTGTGCATTGGTTTCCATACCAGTAAAACAAGACCCCCTTATAAAACGGTCCCCAAGCCTCTCTCCCTTGAGGTCTGCAATGTAACGGCCACTCCCTTTTCTTGCCGGTACCAAGTGTCGTGGCAGATCTAGCTGGCCCTGAGCTGTTGGCACACCACTCAGAACAGAACGCTGACTAGGCAGGGAGGGTCCACTGAAGTACAGGTGCCTCAGGGCCTGTCCAATTGAATGCAGGAACAGGAGCCCTGGGGAAGATTCCAGAAACTCCCAGGTGCTCTCTATCTCTTCTCAGAAGCCTTGCAGTGCCACCTGAGGAGCACTGGGGAGCCCAGCTGCTAGAGAATTATAAGCCCCAAGTGGCCACCATAATTATCCTAAAGGAAGAGGACTTGGGTTGGCCTCAGAGGAGAAATGGGCTCCACATGGCCTCTACATGGGATCTACATGGACTCTGCATTGGCTCTACATGGGATCTACATGGACTCTACATGGGATCTACATGGACTCTACATGGGATCTACATGGTCTCTTGAGGAACTCGTGAGAAGATGAAAAGCTGGAGTGCTATGGGCATACCAATGCAAGAGGAGGATGGGAGAGAAAGTTTTGTATGTCCTGATATCCTAGGGGCATAAAGAAGCCACATGATGGGGGTCCTTAAGATTCCAATACAAAGAGACAAAGCCTGAATGAGCTCCTGGAGGCCCTGCTGTATTTTGTGCCATAGTGTTTTCCCAAAGCTCAGTGGCATGGCAGGAGTATCACAGGCGCTCGGTGGGCAAAGGAATGGATAGGTGTTGCTCTCATGTGTACCCTATGCACTAGGTTTGGTCCCCAGGGTGGAGCAACCCCAGGAAGAGGAGTGTTTAACTGGTGGGACGTGGAGGGAGGGTCTTAGACCATTCATCCCTATAAATTAATAATTATCTCTGGTGTTTATTATATCAAATGAAAGATGACTAGCACACATTTCACTGTTTTCTGAGTAGAATACAGTCACAGCTCAAGAGGAATTTAAGGGAGGTGAGTGGACCTCCATATACAGAGTGGATCCAAAGAGCCAGAGACGAACGTCCACTTAGAAGCAGTAGATACAAAGATTGAGCTGGAGTTTGGGGCAATGTAAACTTAGAGGAGTCGCATGAACCTCTCCAAGTGGGAAGGTGTCGCTTTCTTTCATACAGATCTCTAGGAAACAAACCTACCACTCGTGAAGAGACACAGCACGGTAACTCAGCACACAGAAAGCAAAACCGGAGACACCATTCTGACCCTCACTGCGCTGTCAGTGGGAGGGGCCAGCGATGAACAGCTGCAGCCCAGTCTCCCCATACCCAGGGCTGATTCTTGGTTCCTCCCTAGCCCTCCTTAGACTCAACACCCCCGAGTGCCCTCTCCAAGTCCAGCTATGTCAATGCTTTTTCTTCAGATTCCTTTCCAGACTTCCTTCTCCCTCAAGTCACGTGAATCGTAAGACCAGATTTACTCCAGTCACACACATCTGACAGGCTTGCTTTTCCTGTAGTGCAGCAGTTCTCAACCTGTGAGTCACGACCCCTTAGAAGGCCCCATATCAGATATTTACGTTATGATTTATAGCAGTAGAAAAATTACAGTTAGGAAGCAACAACGAAAATAATCTTATGGTTAGGGTCTCTACAACCTGGGGGACTGTATTCAAGGGTCACAGCATTAGGAAGGTTGAGAACCACAGGACCTCCTGTCCCAGAACCTCATCAATCCAGTTTTATCCAGGTCCAGGTAGCCAAGGATGCAGACAGCACTTGCCTGAAAGACTCTCACAGAAATCAATGGAGAGCCACCTCCCAATGGTGTCCAGGCTTAGATACCAAGGGCAGGCCCCATCTTCTTCCTCTTCATCCTTCTCTCCCAGTGTCCCTTGATTTACCTCAGCCAAAGTCCTTTCCAGCGGGGACAGAAAGGTAATTGATGGCCTTAAGGGATCTCAAAGTGCTATTGAGCAAAATCATAGCGCAACTCTGTGCAGGTGCTTCCTGAAGGGGGGGAGGGAGGGGAACATCTTTGGAAAGCCCTAAATAACCCTGGTCAGGCATGTCAGCTTGACAAATGACTCCAGAGAAACAGCCCCGTTGTTCTACTGTATGTGATTCAACCAGAGCCACCATGGGGGGGGGGGGCTTCCCTGAGTCTTGCCATTGCTCACCAGGAGGGATTCCAAGGCACTTACTTGTATTGCTCTTCTCAGCCTCAGTCCTTTTGACCTTGGTTTCTGGTGGTTTTATTTAGCGAATCCCAGATTTGTGTCCTTCAGGTATAAACCGCATTCACTGGGAGATGGAACTGTAGGGGGGAGCCCTTCCAATGCACCCGGAGGTCTCCCACCCCCCCCCAACATCTGCCTTGATGGCAGTTCCCTGAGCTTCTTAGCCTTATAGCAACAAAGACTACACACTCCTGGAGTCAGAGGGTCCCTTTGTCTTCTCCAACTCAACACTTCTCAAATAACATGCCTACTTTAATACTTTTCAGTGACTGAGACGGAGACTAGAGAGGTCACACTCGCTGGTTTCTGGTATAGGTTCCTGGGACCTCAGCCAGGTGCTCAGGGCTGGAACAAAAGCATCATCTCTCAGTTCCCCTCGGTACAGACTGCGCGGTTCAGAGGGGTCTGCGGGGCTCACTGAGGCTTAAGCCATAGCAATGGAGGGTGATATGGAGAACCCGAGGGCTATATAGTTGTTTAGCATACCCAGCAACATGGGCAAACAACAGCATCTGGTTGTGCTACGTCCTCTGTCCCCCCGGCAACACGGTGATTTGGTTCTTTCTGTTCTCAACAATAAACCCATGGTAACGGGAAAAGGTATATGATCTTTTAGAAAGTAGGTCTGCAGTAAAACTGTCCTGATAGCAATCAGTGTGGACAGCAAGCGGGCAAGTGTGTGACCCAGGGCCTGCAGAGTACACACACACACACACACACACACACACACACACACACACGCACGCACGCACGCACGCACGCACGCACGCACGCCACTCAGGTCTGTTAGATCTGCTGTAACAAAGAATTCTGGCCACTAGACTATGGTACACACATGAACGCATGGGCACTTGCTGTAAAAGGACTCGGGAGATTGGAAGGTTGTCTGCCAGCAGAAGTGATGTCTGCACGTGAGTTATCAGCACAGTCCTGCACAGGACAGCGCTACTGGTGTGGAATGAAGTCCTGGGAGCACACAGAGGACTCAGCCAATGTGTCCCCAAAGCCACGATCTTCTGATTCATTTTCTTCTTCCGGTTTATGTGCTCTGGGTTTTCATGCCCTCGGTGCCCATCAATGGCAGCTTTGTTAATGTGAACAGAAAGCAAGATGAATTCATTTGAAATCAACATCTCCTGGGTCTCACTGTGTGCTCCTCCTCACCAGGGCTGAAAATTCCAACCCTGAGATTGGAATCCTGAATGAAATTGCCTTTAAAAAAATTAGTATTAAGAGACATCTGGCAACTGGAGTTAAGGGTCACAAAAGTTCTGGAAGTTGCACCTGTCTATTTCCCTCTGGGGATCAATCCCCCTTGGTTCTTATACACAAATCATCAGGGTCTAATTATGGAGGCCCTTAGGTCAGACAAACTCAGCTGCAATTCTGACCTGGCCTGCATGTTAGCCTGCCTTTCTGCAAAGTGCCTAGCTGCTCTCACACCTTGGCTGGGCTGAGGCAGGACTGACAAGGAGGGGCTTTGTATGAGCTCTGGATTGTTTTTTTTTTGTTTGTTTGTTTTTTTGTTTTTTTGTTTTAGAGACAGGGTTTATCTGTATTGTTTTAGAGGCTGTCCTGAAACTCACTCTGTAGACCAGGCTGGCCTTGAACTCACAGAGATCCGCCTGCCTCTGCCTCCTGAGTGCTGGGATTAAAGGCGTACACTAACAACACCCAGCTGAGCTCTGGATTCTTGACAGACTCTGGTATCCTCTGGGAAATGAACAGACCTTCCTACTGCAGAAATAAAGGGGATGGAAGATGGACAGATGGACAAGATGTTCTCACCCCAAGACAGCAACAACTGCAGGTGTGTATGTGCTCGCACACACATACCATGTGCCCATTTGACATTGAAATCAACAGATTCTAAAACATAGATTTTTGAAACCATACAGACCCAGTTTTGATTCTGTTCTGTCACCTGTTAAGCCTGTGAGCCTGGGTGAGCTAAATTGCCTTCTGTTACCATGGGTTTATTGTTGAGAACAGAAAGAACCAAATCACCGTGTTGCTGGGGGGACAGAGGACGTAGCACAACAAAGCACTTTAGCAGTGCCTGGTTATTCCAAGAGCTTGGTAAATGATTGATAACAGTGCAACAATAACAATCGTGGATGTCTCTTCTTCTATTCACCCCCTAAGCACACCACAAAAAGTTGGAGTTGATTCCATTTTTGGCTGTTCATACAGTTCTTTACTAGACAGAACTATATCATAGGTTACAAACTATCAATATTTCTGTCCCAGTGAATTCCCAAACTCAGGCCATCTGCGATTTGGGAATTGAGAGTTTATCTTCTTACTTAAGACAGAGATAGAGAGACTCTGCGCACCAAGACTCCAGCAGACACCAGCTACTTATCCACAGAGTCAAGATCCAAAACCAGTTTTCCTAAGTCCTGGTCTTGGGATCTTTTCACTGATCCACTCATTGTTTGGGAGGCATTTAAATAAGCCAGTTCTTTGAAGGGCCAAGAACAAAGAAAGGCGGCTTTGCATGGTGTTTGATTTTAAGTGGTGCCCACAGAGAACACCAAAGAGAAACCTTTGCTTGGAGAGTCTCTCCACAGTTCCTGTCCTCTGTTGAATATAGCTCAAACTGTACTGCATGAATCGAAAACACAGGGCTTCCCATCTGCAATGTGCATAGCACTGAAGCAGACCACGTGCACTGAGAGCCTGGTCCCCACGGAAACAGGGATAATTTTTGCTCCAGAAGGCATAAGAATTTAATAACAAAGGGCAGATAGATTCATTGTCTTCAGTAAAAAGCTCCTGGTTCTCAGACACCCCCATACATAGATGAAATAGGGGTGGAACAAGAGAGATTTAAGCACCAATTCCTATGGAACTCACAGGGTTCTACAGAACTTACCATAACAAACCTGGCCTTGGCCAATGCTTCGAGGTGTGGCTTTTCCAGCCTGCAGCTTTAGAAGCTAAGCCTGGCATTTGTAGTTCAGCAGTTAGCCCTCATGTGAGCTCCATGAACACAGGGATCTGCCATAGTTTTGCTCTTGCTGTACCCCAAATGTTCAGAACAACACCCAGATGTAACAGCTGCAGCATAGCTGTTGAAGAACAAACAATCCAGTGTGTAAGTTGAAGCAAATAGCTTTCCTTCTTTGCACCACCCGTCCCCATCTTGAAAAGTATAGAGTTTGAAGACTGTCACCTTCATCTTATTTTTAAAAACCAGTGCTAGTGAGTGTCAGATGGCCCGAGTTTCACAACTCTCTTGCTTTTTTATATTCTTGTGGTGCACCATGGATATTCTGCCTTTTAACAGATAAACCTGAAGGCTAGTCCATGGGAATGGCCATATGAGTAAAAACATAGAAAGACATTTGGTGGCTGCTGTTTCTTTCTTCACTTGAACAGTTTTCTTGAGAGCAGTTATGGGGCTGGAGAGATGGCTCAACAGCAGAGAGCACTGACTGCTCTTCCAGAGGACCAGGGTTCTGTTCCCAACAATGACGTGGTGGCTCAAAACCTCTCAGAACTCCAGCCCCTAGGGCATCTGACTCTTCTGGCACCCATGCACTTGTACTCTACCCACACAGGGACAGAAGACAGACAGACACATACATATCGTTAAAAATAAACCTTTAGAAAGAAAGAAAGGAAAATTATGTAGATGGTGTTATTTTATGTGGAGTTGACTGTGGAGTTCAGCCTCACCTGTGATACCAAAACAGTGTATTCTGCTGGGCCCTTGTTCTGGTTAAGCTTGTTCCCTCAAGACAGGCATTGCAATCTCGTAAAGATCCCACTGAACCTCTGAAGCAAGCCCTTCATGGAAGAAGGCCAGAGAACTTCCCAGATGGTGAACTGCCCTGCCAACATCCTCAGGCTGTGACTTACGCTATCCCTCAAGCTCATACTGCATGGGAAAGCCCTCACACACTGAGCCTCCTCCCAAAACACCAGCTCAATCAAAAACCACATATGCATGGCCTGACTTCAGTCCAAAAAGTAGAAAACCGCAAGTAGCAACATAGGTGAGGTGTTCATGTTTAAAGTATATACATGAGTTTACGAAGTCTGAGGGGTGGGGTCTATGGCATCATATTTATCTTGCCATAGTGAACAATAAGAAAAATAAAAGCACTGAAGATATAGAAATTGGCTCTATCCCTCGCCAGCTGGATATTCTTCTTGAGAACCACACTCAGCTGAAATTCAATTAAACCAAAACATTATCTAGGTTAGTTGGTGCGGACCTGTAAGCCAAGCTTTAGGGAGGTTAAGACAGAAAGGTTGCAAGTTCAGTGCCTGCCTAGTTTATCAAGTGAGTTCAAGGCCACCCTAAGCAATGTCATGAGACCTTGTCTCAAGATAAAAATAAATAGATAAATGAATAAATAAATAAATATAAGATGGAATGAAATGTTCCCACTGATGCAACGGTGGGATGATTGTTATGGAGGTAACCAAATGCCTTTGATTGAGGCCTGCTCCACAGAAGGGATTTCATGTCTGGTCCTGGTATCCTAGTTAAAAGCCCATGATTTGGGAGGACATAAACCCTGAGGGAGGAGGGAACTACTGTTGTTTTGTAAAGTAGACATACAGCCCAATTGCCAACTAAATATTGACATTTAGACCCATAGATTAAGGCTGCTTTCAGCTTTGATCAGAACAGCTACTGCTTGCAGGTATCCTGTAACTATTGATACAGACTGAATTGATGAGACTATGTAACTACAGAAAGCTTAGGCTTAAACGGAACACCTACATTCCATGCTCAGGGGACACAGAAGAGCATGTAACATAAAGAATGTGGGAGGCAACAGATGGGAAAGAGCATGATGCAACACTGTCCTTTTGGACATGACGGGGGTTTGCACCATGAACTCACACTGGATCCATCAGCACATGGACAAGTGGAAGGCATGGGTGCCCCCTAGAACCTGTGGGTCATTAATGGTTGCTGGAGGAGGAGGAATCACATCCATTGGTGAGTTGCTCTTTCTCAAGTAAATAACCCCTCACACATGCTCACGAAAGCATCCTTAATTAAACTTAGGTGTGTGAATGTGTGCGTGTACACGCATGCACGCTCTCTCTCTCTCTCTCTAGATAATATAGTCAGAAGAAAACTTCCTGGGAAGGAGTGGCTCATCAGGAGGGACAGAGGTTAAGAGAGATGAGGAGGAGAACACAACGAAAGGACATTACATAAAACTGTGAAAGAATAAATAAATTTTAAGTGAATGTATAAAAATAAATAAATAAATAAATAGGCCCAAAACACACCTTAGTAGTTGTCTTAGTTTGGATTTCTATTGCTGTGAAGAGATACCGAGCTTTCAGCAACTCTTATAAAGGAAAACATTTAATTAGGGTTGCTTACCCTTTCGGAGGTTTAGTTCATGAACATCGTGGTGGGACATGATGGCCTGCAGTCAGACATGGTGCTGGAGAAGGAGCTGAAAGAGCTACATCTTGATCTGCAGGCAACAGGAAGGAGTCTGAGTGTCATACTGCATGTAACTTAAGCAAAGGGGACCTCAAAGCCCACCCTCTCTGTGACATACTTCCTCCAAGGCCACACCCCCTAATAGTGCTACTCCCTTTGGGAGTTATTTTCTTACAAACCACCACAGTAGTAAAGTGCTCATCTAACATACACAAAGCCCTAAGTTCAAGGCTCAATATTGAAGAAAAATGTGAATAATTAAGAAGTCATTTGCACATCCCATTGATGAACATTCAACTGGCCTGGTCATTTGTATTTCACATAGAAAAAGCAGCTAATGCAGCGTGGTTTGGGTTAAAAGACCAGATCCCCTCTGAGAGACTTGTGTTCTGATTCTAAACATCAGCTTCTTTCTTTGCCCCATAAGGGCAAAGAAACTGTGTTATTTAAAAGTTAGAGAAAGTACCCACCCACTCCCAGGAGCCTGTTTCATCAGCGATACTTTGCAAAGATGACAGCCAAAGAGGCCACTGCTTAAACTGAGCATGACCTTCCCTCTTCAGAAAACACACTCTCGACCTCAGCAACCTTTGGCTTCATGTATAAAACTTAGGGTGCCAATACTTCCCAGCCTCATCAGAACAATGTTTTAGTAGACAAATTTGTAGAAACCAAATTTGCTATTATATTCATTTGTCCACAGCTTTCAATGGTCCAAACTAAACATTCCTATTTAAAACAGGGTTTTCTTTCCTAACAACTTAGGACACAGATGGATGGGCACGCATACACACACACACACACACACACACACACACACACACACAGAGAGAGAGAGAGAGAGAGAGAGAGAGAGAGAGAGAGAGAGAGAGAGAGAGAGAGAGAGAGAGAGAGAGAGAGTCTTGCTTACCCCAGCAATTCATTTCTCATTTTGGTTTGGGACACAGCCAGTTGGTAAAAGGGTTCGGCCTGTGTTTACTGCCTCTTTGTTCTCAGGCATTTCTGGGGCCTCCTGGCAGCCCTTTGGTCTGCTGCAAGCAGCATAGCCTTCCAGGGTTGCAAAGTCCAGACAGATCTCAGGCTCCGACCACTGCCTTGGGCTGATAGAGAACAGCTGGAAGCCTTTCCTCTCCTAACGCAGGCTCATGCCCAGCTCTCTAGGCAGACATGAGGCAGGGGCTGAGTCTCTGGCGCCAGGATCCAGCTCTTGCTGGAGTTCTTTCGCAGTCATTGCACTCTACCTTGCCAGGCCCCCACTCAGGACTTTTCATTTGCCTCTCAACTCTCCCGATCTCCAACCATAGATCAAGGAACTGTAGGTAGATGGGCTCTCGTGTGTGTGCCCATCGTATCTGCCTTTCAACAGTGATGCTACGGGTTCCAGCTTCCAGGAGGCCCAGGGATGGCTTTCTAAATATATTATCTACGCATTCAGCACCAGTGCAAGCCTCCAGTCCTGACTCCAGTTAAGAGTTCTACTATGACTGAACTTGAAGTTGTAGCCTGTGCCCTAAGTCAGATTCAGTCGCCCAGCCTCAATAAGCCAACTAAAGGAGATTAATAGTGGAGAGCAGGAAGGGTGTTCTTCAATATGGCCACCCAGGGAGATCCAGTGACGCCTCTGAGAGACCCAGGCCCCAGCAGATCTAAGATCCATAACCTAACACAATCCCAGAGCATCCCCACTCTAAGCCCTAAGCCAGTGAAAGAAACACATCCTGGATTTGGGACCTGAGCCAGTGAAAGAAACACTTTATCCCTGAACCCAGAGCCAGAGAAAAACACCCTGACTGTGAAACCAGAGCCAAAAGAACACACTTTGCCCCTAGAGTCAGAGCCAGTTAAAGAAATATGCTCTGGTCCTAAAACTAGCACCTAAAAGCTAACATGGACCAGAGAAAGAAACACAGTTTGGCCCTAAAATCAGAGCCATCTCTGCCCTGACACAAAACCAACCAATCCCTGAGCAGGGAAAACCAACCAATCCTTGAGTATGAAAGTAGTAACCTCTAGTCTAGAGGTAGGACTCCCTATAGATCTTAAGCCTAGGAAAGTAACTCCCTAGCCTAGAGATGTACATTGACCCTTTCCTGACCTTAGCCCAGAGGGGGCAGCCAATCCTAAACCTGTAACTTGGAATTCCCCTCACCCCAGGAGGGGGGGGGCGGCAGCCAATCCCAAGCCTATAAACTTGGGAATTCCCTGGGAGGGCATTGGGGGGGGAAGGGGGAGAAGCCAATCACAAACCTATAGGCTTGGAATTCCCCAAGCCTCCCTGCTATAAAAACACCCTCCCCACACTGCTGCTCTATGCTCCTACTGCTGCTGTCACTGCTGCTGTTGCCACTTGGGAAGGATGGAAGGCATTCAGTCTAGTGGTCATAATTTGGGGATCCAGACTTGGGTCACAACCCCATAGTCTGTCTTTGGAATCCTGAAGTGAGATTAACACTTAAATAGAGGGCCAAGGATATTCATACCTAAGCAGTCTAGGTCAAGGGGTGGTCCTTTTCATCATTGACCCATTATTGTGTAGACCTCCATCTCATCTTGTAGTTTGGTCTGACAAGTTGTTAAAGCTGTGTGAAATCTCTGACACAGCTGTACTTTCCCCTCCAGTATGAGATTCTTAGGGGAATCCTCATCCATTTGGAGTCTACTGTTCTCAATCATCTAATAGATTGAGGGATGCTGTCCTTTAGAAAATCTTTGATTGCACTTCTCTAAACTTAGAATAAAATCAATTCCATTCAAGTTGAACCCCTCTCCAGCCCTCTGATCTCCCTGCCATCATTATACCACTTAAATACATGCCATGGCAAAGGTATTCAAAAGCTGTATGACTCAATAGTCAAAGACGCCATCATTAGCCTTTAACTGACCAAGATCCAAAACTAGTTTTGCCATTGTATGCTGTCCTGGGATATTAAAACCAAGTCTGTAATCTCCCTTTGCCTCAGTTCCTCGAATGTAAAACAAGGATGGATAATGCCTAGCGCTGGTATAGAACTTGATGGAGGCGGTAGGCAGAAAGGGCCTAGTCCATGATGGTGGTCAGTATCAAAAGTCTAAATATCAATTCTGGCAGCCTCTGCTCTCCTCACTACACTCTGGGTTTGTTTCTTCGAGCACCCCGCAGCTCCCATGAGAGACTCAGTGGAATGAATGAATTCATACAGGTTTCTGTGGGAGGTATCAAGCCTCTGGCCTGTTCTCAACTTTGAGAATAGTATGGCCAGTTGATTTGACAAACCTGTCACCAGCATCATGCATAAGCACAAATCTATGGGACAGAAAAGTCCCAGTTTGCTGTCCTTGCACTGAACTGGGGAGACAGAAACACTGGTGAGATGTTGTGATTAGGATGTGAGTTAGGATGTGAGTTAGGAGGGACTGGAATACGATAAAGTGGACTGCTAGGAAGAAATGAACAACCAGGAACGTCTAGAGGAGGACACAGGGAGCAGAGTCCAGACAGAGTGGGTATGCAAAGACTCAAACATGGCTCTGTAGAATAAGGACTGCTTCCGCGTGGATGGAAAGACACGAGAACAGGCAGACTCACTCCGAGACTGTAATCGGGTGGCTTAGGCCACAGGGAACTGCAGATTTCAAGATAATCAGGCAGGTTAGGTCACCACCTCCAATGCTCCCCTCCACCTAGCCCCTGGGGTGAGGGGGACAGGAGAACATCAGTAAGACATAGTAGAGTGGTTAGGTGACTTAGTTTGTTTTCTCCACTCTTGATTTTCAGTGGAAGGAAATGTCTTCTCAAAGTCCAGTTTCTTCATCTACACGGCGAGTCTCTGCTCCTTTTAAGGGAATACTGTCACTCCGACATTGATGTGTGCCACCCTGTGGTGGCTACTGTTTAAAAACTCTTTGAAGAAAGGGTTGTTAATGTACCCGTCTAGAAGACACACAGAGCAATTTTCCAGAAATCCACTGCACTCTTCACACATGGCCTTGAACATCTCAAATGGATCTCCCCAACATCCTTGTGGCCAAGCTTGACTTCTCTTTGCCTCCCTTTGCTTCAACCAGAGGACAGTGAGCTACCAAATCTCTCCACTGTGTTGCACCACAGCAGAAGCAAAGAGTGACACAGGTAAAGGCACACGTGTCCCCATAGCCATTCTTTGTCATTCTTTCCCATGAGAAAAAAAGCAAACAAACAAACATGACAACACCATAACAACTAAAATCTACCAGGGCCTGAGGGAACAGTGGATAGATTTGCTACGTAGTCTGACTCATCAACAAAGAAATGTCGTGGACAAGTGGCTTCCCAGTGACACTGTCTCTATGTAACGTCACCATCTTCCAAGCTCAGGACCTGTCCTGAGGCTAAAACCAGACAGGATATCCTGTACACATTGAGGGAAATTGTACACCAGAGTCTTGACGAGTGTCATTGACACATCTGAATATTGACAATGCCATGTTTTATTATGTAAGAGACCTGAAATGCTCTGTCAAACCCCAAGAGGGTCCTCTGTAGTAAAGAGAGAAAATTAGCCACCTAATTTGTTGCCTTTGTGATCTAGGATTTCCCTTTCCATAAAGACTTTGAATTTGCAACACATCCACTCCACAAAGAACCCTGGTAAGGGGACAGGATCTTAGCAGAACACAGCAGAGGTCTAGGAAAAGTATTTAAATGAACATTATAATTATTCAGCAAAATCCCTCTGGGCATAGCAGGTGACCAGACATCTACACTGAAATCTATGCTCTCCATCAAGATGATAATACAAAAAAAAAATTCACATGAGAAAGTGAAAGATTCGATTCAAGAGAAAAACGACTTTTAAAACCTGTTCCATGGAGTCGTTCAGCTTCCCACTCTTTGAGCCTTCTCTAAAGTCTACAGAGACTCGAGTAGTGGTTTCCTGATTCCAGTTTGTCCTTTCCCACTCTTATTTAACAAATCCATCAACCGCCCACCCTGCTCTGGGAACCCAGCCCTACACAAACAATGGCCCAGGCAAAGTCTGCGTAATACAAACCAAGCCTGCCCAGAAGGGGAAAAGGCAACTTAAAGAGACAATGCTGGGGTGCTCTGG